TTTTAACTTGTACATGGTTCTCATTTCACTTTGTCGGTATTAAATCATGTTGTGGAAAAATAGTCTAAAAAGTAACAAATAATAGCACTCATTGCGATCGCTCCCAAACTCAAGTTGTAAATAAATTTCTGGAAAACAAGTCCTGTTAAAAAAAAACAATGCGTTTGTCTTATTGTTTAATTTTGCTTAAAATGGTTAAACTGCCGTCTTATTACTATCATATGGCCGAATAGACCTACGAAATACCATGTGCTCTAGTGATATGGTATAAGGTTTATTTTTGCTTGAAATAGTTTAAAACCGTTCATGCATAAAAAAAGCTCGCTAATAAATAGTCTTCTGTCAATCCATCTCGGTATAGCGCCGGCGTTTGTTTCCCTTTGAAAACACTGTTTTGCTATTATTACTAATTAGACGTTTTCAAATCGACTTTACTTTTACATTTGTATAACATTAAATAATATTTAACATTTGTAAATATTAATGAATCATAAACCTTATTTCTTTTCCAAATTAAGGTTCTTGATTGTTTGATATTTACAAATATTATTATTAGATGAAAATTTAATTTAATAAAAACCAAGGTTTTCCAGGGTGATTTAGCTGTACCTACTTATATAAAGGATTTTTTTATAAAACAAAAAATAGTACAAAATGTTTGTTATCCCTGCATAAAAAGTCACTTACTCTCAATTTCAAAGAAAACACGTAGAAAAACACGTAGTTACCCACTAAAAACAAGTATCCTTCCGTTTGTAACTGATGTTTGATGTCTGCTGAACTTAATTAGGTCTAAAGAAGTGAAAAAAGCATAAAAAGAATATTTTTACACATGACTGATGGCACAAAGGCGTGTCATCAACGTCTCATGCCAGGCGTGCCATGAAATATTTGTTCGCCGAAAATCGGTGCCGCATCGAATCGGTTAAGCTTTGCCGCCCTATAAAACCAAAACTAGAAGGAGGACAGAAACAAATACCCAATGTCGTATACTATAACTAATATATTAAGAAAAAAATAGCAAACAAGCTTTGCCAATAAGAAGGAACACTTCGAAAATTTACTTAATTTACTATAATGTTAACTGTCATAATGGCGTCAATAAAGCAGCGCCTTTTTGACCTATTATTTTTATTTGATTGACTAATGAAGAGCTATCGTATCACACAGAAATCTAAGCAAATAAGGCTGTAGTTTTTGCGTTATAAGAAAGTGACCATATTAACCATCCGGTTAATATGACCATATTACTCTCACGTACTATATAATATATTAATTAGGCCGGTGGCAGGAAGCAGCAAGATGCTAGCTGTCTTATTCTACGATCTTAATTGTTCCCGCCAAGCGCGACGATTTACATAAAATCTCTTAATTATTGTTGCGGAGATAGAACGACTTAGGGACCTTCAAGAAAAGAGCCTACTCCTTTTTAAAAGGCCGGCAACGCATCTGCAATTCCCCTGGTGTTGCGGTTGTTCATGGGCGGCGGTAGTCACTTACCATCAGGTGAGCCGCATGCTCGTTTGCCCCCCTCTCCTATAAAAAAAGGAACAATATTCCTCAGAATATTAAATACAAAAACTGTTCACTTTTTTAATACAATCCATTCACAAGCCCACTGCTAAATATAGACCTCATCCCTGAGGGCTACGATAGAATGCTTCGTTACCTATTAAAATGGTCTCCGGTTCTCTACACTTACCATACGAAACAGCAGCATTAAGCAGATATTTTACGTTGGTATTCTGCAAGAGCGTGGTCCTTCCCCGGTTGAGACAACCCATTAGTGCTGCAACTGCAACCATCATATAGCTGCAGCGAGGCTCTACCACGATTCAAAGTTAGGATTAGGTTTGACAAATAAAATACGTAACCGTTTCAAATAAATTCGGCATTTATTCACTGAAGTATATACATTGAATATGTTTATCAATACAAAAATAACATTTACTCTTACTATAGTCCCTTTACAAGTTACACATCGACAAATATCAACTTAATATTAAAGTTATTGACTAAATAAAACTTATCAAGTTATTGATTTATTAAAATGCATGCAAAAATAAACGGTAACATGCTTAACTTAAGTTACAGAACAGGATGTATTAGTCCTAATATTCAACAAAGGGTGAGGCAATTATTTGAAATAACTTTAGTCAAACAGTCGATACGAATTAATGAGTTTAAAACAATCACAGCATTATTACGAAGGTAAACCTTCGTGGGTTAATATTTTAGCCTTGACTTAATTAATATAAATGCCAACACTTGTACTTCCTCACAAGACTGGTAACCGGATAATAGGGTAGTTCACAAATGTTGTATAAAAGCTTTTATAAAAATTTACTTCGCAAAAGCTACTTTGTAAAAGCTTTTATATAATGGATTTCCGCAAAGTAACGCCTGATTCTATTAATTACAAATGTTGTACCAAAATCTCACAGAATGGTTATGGGGTCAGCGTTACCAATGCGAGGTATCTCTGCGCTCACATGCTCCACTTTCACATGTGATGAGTTTCATTTCGAAACACAATATTTATTAATTTGGTCAATAATTAAAAAATTGGTCAATACTTAAAAATAGAATAGATAAAATAAATAAATAAAATATCTATAAAATATATAAATAAACAGATAAAATATCTGGAAATTCGTTTACTAGCGTCAGGTATATTGTGTTATATGATACATTAAAATAATACATTTAAAGTGAAAATCTATTTCTATTTTGAAGTAAGTAAAAGTTATTTAATTAAGAGACCACAACCGTCGGTCTCTAATCTAATTAAACAAATCATCATTGCTTTTTTCACGTTAAACGATTTATTAAAAAATAACTCTAGAAAAATAAACAACTTAAAATATATTTGTGACGATAGTTAAAAGGAATGAACAGGAGTAGATTAATTTAAAAATCTTAGTAAATTCATATAAAACACTATAATTTCATAAGTTATTAATGTCTTACTTTTTCACACATTTTTTCACCGATTGTGCTACTTATGAAAGTGGCCTGTTCGGTGGGTTGTGAGGCAACTTAAATCATCCACATAATGTAATAATATTAATATATTAATGTAAAATGAACTATAAAATACAACTATGTAATGTAATACGAAATATTTTATTATTATTTTATATAACATATATTTTTAATATTCTGGAGAAGCTATCAACGTAAGTTTTCCCGCGTTTTAAAATTCCACAACGGAAATATTTTTATATAAATCTTCTATAATATATGTTTCGTCTATAAACATAGTTTGCAATATTTTACAAAAAAAAAAGCGAACAATATATAAATAAATAAGTATATGTACTTAATTTAAAATTGAAAGAAGAAACAGGAATAAATTAGTCATATATCAATAATTTGTAAAATAGCTATAGCAACTCTATTAATATTTAATTTATGGTAGTCATATTTTACAATTCTGCAATAATCTTGAAAATTAAAAATAAATAAATAGTAAACAGTAGTTGAAACTAGAATAAGCATAATATATATTTAATAAAATAAAAAAAATTAAATAGCATAGCATATGATTGAGATAACATTTTACAATAATTTATTATAAAAAAGTAAATAATTAAAATAACTTTATTAATAATCCGTGTCTGTGTTAAAAGATTTTTAAGAAACTCTAGAAATGCTAGATATATATAATACCCTGGAGTAATGCTTTTATAAATGTGTCATGGAGGTGGCTTAGGGTGATGTAATATTAAATATCAGATCAACGTCTTAGTTCATGGAATAGAGCAGTAGAGGATAAAGTTAAATGAAGTATTTTATGAGCTGTCAAAATGAAATTTTCCACAAAAATTGCAAGAGACTGAGTACTGTACCAGTGAATTACGCCATAGGTTTGTTATAGTCCACGGCTCTGTGGCGCAGTGGCTTAGTAAATAGTTGCAGCGTTAAAGGCCGCAGGTTCGAATACCGATTGGAACAAGTATTTGAATAACCTACAAATAATTGTTCCGGGTCTGGATCTGTAGAGGAGAAAATCCTAGTGTGGAGGTAACGTTTTTAACCTAATTCAAAAAGGAGCAGGCTCTCAATTCGAGTGTATTGGGACGAAGTTCCTTATCGGACGGTACGGGTTTGGCGGATGGGAACTAGGCGACAAAAAGTGTAAGAGGTTTTCGTCACTAACCCTTGTGTCATAGTGTAGACGGCCTTGCCGGTGAAATAAGGAAGTTAGATGGAATAATATTCATGGCATTCCATGTGGGAGGCCTATGTTCAGCAGTGGACTTGTGAAGGCCTGTAATGATGATGATGAATTATCAAATGCACATTTAAAACAGAATACTGGCAATTCTAACAACATCACCAATATTATCCTTAGCTACTCCATTTTCCAATTCTTCTCTAGAGGAGGTACAAGAATCAAACGCACCACCATTTTGACAGTTTCACATTCTTTACCTTTCACTATTTAATATTCACTTATCAACAACAATTCATTTCACAAATAAAAATAAACTTTTCCATTGATATTTGATTTTATAACTCTGTCATTTTAATGAGAGTTTATTTTACTTCGTAGAAAGCCCAATAATGCCAATTACTGACATAATTTCTTTTGTTTGTGCGTTAAGGCATACATTTAAAAGGGCATGGGCATTTAATGACCAATTCTCCCTTTAAGCAAATATAATTAAATGTTCCTTGTACTCTTTATCTTCTACTATTATCCTGCTCTCTCTTCTCCTACTATCTCAAACTTCTAACGCACTCATAAAAAATCACGGTTCAATTGTTTGTTTCATGTTTTTAGGGATTACGACGTTGCGACCCTGCATTTTCACAACTAATTGTTTAAAGCAAGAATGAGGGTAGTCAACAATTTTTTTCGGGGTTCTAAACAGTGTTGCAATTTTTAATTGGTGGACTTGAGACACCAAATTTTACAAGGGAGGCGCACTAGATTATCTAGGAGGGTTGTACTATCCTTACTCCTTCCCAGTTACGCCCATGACGGCTCGTAGCTAAAATAGTCCTCTAGCCTTGCTTTCAGCTGCGAACTTTCTAACGTGCACAATGTGTTCCAACATGACAGTTGCGAACGCCGCGTCCAGGACAAACTGCGGTATTTTACCTGAAACAGGTGATATTAGGGATTTTTGTGAGTTTTTTTATTACATATTTTATATACTAAAATTAATAATTAGATGCTACACCCGCAGACAGACAACTGCAATCAACTTGAAATGAAGAAATTTGTTGCGTTATCACTCCCGAGGACTAAGATGGAATGTCCTACAGCTGGCAGAATAATGGTGGCAAACGAGCACACACTCCACCTGATGGTAAACGGATGCTGTGGCCCACAGACAAGATCTAGCCTCTATTAAGAATCAAAATGGAGATGCGTTGTCAAGCCTGAGGATTAAGAAGAAATGCCTTGTTTCCAGCAAAAAAGCTCTCCGGTTCTCAACACTCACTATACGAAACACAGCAGCATTAAGCTGCTATTTTACGCTGGTATTCTGTGACAGCGTGGTCCTTCCCCGGTCAGGCTGACACATTCGCGTTACAATTATAATATAGCTGCAGCATGGCTCTACAAGGTATACGTCGCTCTCTTAATGTTCAGACCGGCACGCAGCCTTGGGCGCACTGTAACTTGGCGCAGAAATAGGTAAGAGGCTGTTATTTACGGTGGTAGACTTCTAATATTGACGGCTCCGTGGCGCAGTGGCTTAGCAATGAGTTGCTGCGCTGGGGGGCGCGGGTTCGAATCCCGCACGGAACAAGTATTTGTATGGCCTACAAATGATTGTTCCGGGTCTGGATGTTTGTCCTTGTAAAATTTGTGTTTGTAAACTGCCTCCACGATACAGGAGAAAATCCTAGTGTGGGGGTAACGTTTTTTAAAAAAGAAAAAAGAAAAAGAATATAAAAGGGAGTCCTACCATTTAAGGCTTATATAGATAGCGCTGTAATCACATTTTGTTTATATACTATAATATATTACAGATACCAGGCGAGGACCAAAGGCAGTGCAGAGGCCAGGAACAGGGAGCCATGACGTCGAAGGTGCAATTCACGGCAGCAGAACCAGACGTCTCGCACCTTTGACACTGCTTTACGTTACAGGACATACGAAACACAGCAGCATTGAGCTCCTTACCGGTCGATCCGAACCAATCGTGCTACAAGTATACAATTTATATAGCTGCAGCATGGCTCTACCACGTTCAAGATACTACTGACTTCCATTTGGCACGATCATGACATACCTCTCTTGCTCCTTTCACATCCATATATCTATGAATACACGCTCATTGGCCTAGGGCAGAGGAGGTGAGTGAAACCCAAAGCAGGAATGAACATGATCGCTTATTCTAGGGCCACAGCTACATTTATAGTATCGTTAGACAAAGCTGGTAGCATCTTGAATGTGTTGTCCCTTTCACACAGTATAAAATATCTCCGTCGCCCATCTCGTGGTCTCAGTGCCGAGATGTTGCTCAGTTTGCACGCACGCATTATAATAACATAATAACTTGTCATCTTTTCGTTTAGATGATAAAGAGCCGTGCTAGCTCAGATGGTTAGCGCTCGCTGTAAGCTTCACAGTACTCGAGCAACCCGGGTTCGATCTCCGCCGGCACCAATGAAATTGTTTATTGCAATTTTAAGTGCTGATTTACCACGTGCTCGGCCGTGAAGGAAAACATCGTGAGGAAACCTGCATGTCTCAGAAATAAGAAAAAAAATATTTCGAAGACATGGTGAAGTTCGCCAACACGCATTGGGGCAGCGCGGCGGACAATTCCTTGCTCTAAAACCCTCTCAGAAATGAGAGGAGGCCTTTGCCCAGCAAGTGGGACATATATAGGCTGTAACTTTTTACGTTTAGAGACCAGGGAAAAACGGTATTAAGTAAATAAGTTTTTGAGGTTATAAGATCAGGTCAGATTATAAGGACAGCTGTAAGATAAGGTCTGACAGCTGTCATAACCTCAAAAATTATACGATAATTAAAATCAAATTGTTTCTTAATCGCTGAGAGAGTTACAATCACTCAGATATAAATCTCTCTTCAATGTAATATCACCATCAAATCGGCGTGCGGTCGCAATCAGCAGTTATATTCTCGTAATATTTCGCCAATGCTGAGTTTTAAAGACTACAACCGTGATGATAGGCCATCCTTGATTTCTACACTACACTTTGTGCAAGTTAGAGCAATATAGATATAGTTCATTGAATTATCGGTCAAAATCTGTCGTCGCAACGGACCAGACTTGGCTTGACTTTTTTGGCCATCGGACTCTAAGTCTGATGAACAGACAAGGACCCAGACACGCAAACCCAAAGAGTGAGACTCACCTTTCAAGTCGCAGCACATCAGCCACTGGAAGACAGTGTACTCCTCAATCTTGCCGCCCGCTGTCTGGGTTGTTTTCGGTCTCATGAGCCAGCAGCCAACTTTGTTGTGACCCCTTAAAAAAAATTTAAATTTACTATCATGTGTTAAACTTGCTCATCACAGTTTCTATTTAAAGATCTCGGACTAAAATGCTGAAAATAGTCTAAAGCGAGCAATCATCATCATTACAGCTCTTCACAAGTCCACTGCTGAATAGAGGCCACCCCAAGGAACGCCACAGAGCACGGTCCTGAGCCACCTGCATACATCGACTTCCTGAATGTCTTACCAGGTCATCACTCCAGTTGGAGTGGACTGTCCAACACTGCGCTTAAAAATAATTTTAGAAGCAGCTTGGTATCGACTATCGATCACCTCATGCTTTTTATTTTTATTTCGTTATGTTTGAGGGCTTTGTTGTAAAAACGTATACACTACCTACTGAGTAATAATGCCCTCTCTATCCAGACCGAATTCAGGTCACGGTCACCAGTCTCAACGAGAACTAGCGATCTGCGTTGCACTCTCTATTTTTTTTTATAGGAGTGGGTGACAAAAGAGCACACAGTCCACCTGATGGTAAGTGTTTTCTGTGGCCCATAGATATCTACATCTATCCTCCTTTGCGAATCAAAATGCAGGTGCATCGTCACGCGTGAGGACTAATATGGAATGCCTCTTTTCCAGTAAAAAGTATCTCCGGTTCTCTACACAGCGGTGTTAAGCTGCTATTTGACGCTGGTATTCTGTGAGAGCGTGGTCGTTCCCCGGTCGAGCCGACCCATTCGTGCTACAACTATACTACTAATATAGCTGCAGCAGACTCTACCACGTATAAATTTAAATTAAATTTACTCTCATAGTCCGATGGAACGGCAATCAAACACGGACAGAGAGAGATAAAGCACAGGACCAACGGCTATACTTGTTTTCCGGGACTTCCTGACTCCGAACGGCTACAGAGAATATTATGACGAAAAAAAACTTTTCACCCGACTCGTAAATTCGAACCCGGAACAGCCATACCAATGAGGTCAGACAGTGATGGAATCGATAAACTATTAATTTAAAGAAAATATATCTGTTATCTGGGACTGAGTCGCCGTGACCATGGGTGCTGTAAAGTACCCAAAACGACGGGAATTAAAAAGTTAAATTATACGCGATAAAATCCGTAAAAATTAGTTTCATTTAATATATATATAGTTATGATAATAATGCTCACTTGTATCATTTAATTTCCATAGATAACATAAAAGTTTTAACAAAATTAAACTTTATAAAAAAATCATCAATTCGTTGTTCAACTAGTAAAAATTAATTACAACGATTAGTGTAGCCTTGGACGCAGATTAAAACAGATTATGTGACGTGTAAGGAACACCGACATGGAGACTGCATGTTTTGTTCCACATCATAAAATTTCAGATGCGTAAAGATCAACAAACTGATACACATAGCAAAAAATAACGTAATTTTTCTTCTGCTTTTAATATATGAAGAAATAAATACAACTTCTGCTTTTAGTATATGAAGAAATAAATGTACAAATATTTAATTTTTATTTTAATACAACATATCAAATAAACTAGATAAAACCAAATAAATTTCCTCTGTGGTACATGTAGCAGCTTTAAAAAATATATCTAGTTTTAAATAAATGCTATGCCAAATGATCAAAGATCTGACTGCATCTGATGGATGGCATTATACCAATCTCATAAATTACGGTATGATGTAAAATTACCCAAACCGGTGAAAGATTACGTCATGGACGTCTTGGAGGCGATTTGTTCACGATCACCAGTTTTCCAAGTCTGACCATAATGGATCCATTCCACTCGGGATACGACAGTCTCTCCTGAGTGGAAATGATCAGTTATCAATAAAGCGGGTTGATATTAGAGGATTATAAATAACGTTGAGTAACACTTCATGGTGATTTCATTTACACATACATTCCGTCGGACCTGAGATGAGTGACAAACTAGAACTTGTCGGGAATATGCTTACTTTCCAGCATTCGAAGTAACTTTTGCAGTATCAGGTATATGGAGATAATAATATCCAGATAAAGATTGTATTTATGGTTTGGGAATTCCCTACAATTTCAAAGTCACGGGACACGGAACAGCCTATAATCAAAGTCCCGGGAATTCCCGACACTTCAAGACTTTAAAAAAAAAACTTTTTTATTTTTATTAAGATGGGTAAGCCTTTCTTGAAGAATTTTAATTGAGTTAATTTCTGGTGAAACGTATTAAAAAGAGGCAATTTTTTGTAAAAAAATCAACATTTATTAAACAATTAAACAGAAAATTAAATAACTTTAACGTTAATTTCAGTCTTAATACTTGCTTTGTTTATTACTTTTAGTCACATACAGATGGACTTCTAAACAGTTACATCTTATAGTTATGAAACGAACTTAGTTAAAAATCATACAAATTCTTAATAACTTTACTATTATCTAGTAATTCTATATCTAATCATTGTTCATAATCTCATTGCTATTTCTCATAATCACATATTTGTTTCATTTATTGTGTTGCGAACTCAGTAGTTACGTAGTAGACCAAGTAATTACTCATTAAACTAACACATGGCACTAGGCTCCTTCAATTATTTGAAAACAAAAATGATTATATAACAATTTCGACAATCTTGTCTCGTCTCGAGTCTCGACCCGAAAGTCCCGGGACCCAAACCCTAATTGTATTTCAATGTCGGGTCATAAACCAGTTACAATTCTCAGTAACAGCCCGAAATCAGGAAGTAGGCGGTGTTTCCCCCGTGCCTCTGAAAGCACGTAAAGCCGTTGGTCCTGCGCTTGTTCTATTCCTGGTCGTTGTTGGATTACCGTCCCATCGGACTATGAGATTGAGGGTATAGAGTGTGCTTGCACATACACGTGGGCACAAGTAGCACATTTTACTAGTCTCCGTAGTTCGGCCGCCGTGTACGTAATTCGGTCTGAAGGACATTATTTTAACATACAATTTTTATTACAATAAAAAAATATTTGACTGCTGTTTTCTTCTTTACTTTATGGCCTCTTAGTGAACGAACCAAAAAACGTACTATGATTGGATCACGAATGGGTCGGCTTGCCCGGGTAAGCACGAAACTTGCACAAAATACCAACTATATTTATACTGCTGTTTTTAGTATGGCCAGTGACGAAAACCGGTGACCCTATTTACCCGATTGCCCTAGAAGGAGAGTATATATGTATATTTTTCGAGAGTATATATGTATGTGTGTCTTATTTAAGGTACGTGAGGGTAATATGGTCACCTTAAGCTTTGCCGCTCTATAAAACCAAAACTAGGAGGAGGGCAGAAACAAATACACAATGCCGTATACTATAACTAATATATTAAGAAAAAAATAGCAAACAAGCTTTGCCAATAATTAGCAACACTTCGAAAAATCAACTTAAAAAATACTAACTATAGTATGTGAGGATAATATGGTCATTCGGTTAATATGGTCTCTTATTACTCAAAAACTACAGCGTCGTTTGCATAGAACGCTCTGTGATACGATAGCTCTTGATCAGTCTATCAAATTATAGAATTATTACGCATAGAAACGCAGTCCAGTACAAAACACGAGCGTTAAAATGATGCAAAGTCATTATGTTAGTGGGCGCGAGTCGAATGTGCCTACGCTCGTCACACGCACACATACACGCCATTCAGTGATACCAGTTTCTGGCGTTTGCAAACAAATTGTGCAAATCACTTATAAAATCGATATAATAAAGATTACGTATTACGTACGAAGATTATTTAGTAGAAGTATTTTATGACAATATAAAATGGAATAAAATAAACACGATAATGATGTTACTAATATAACTTTATTATACATATATTAATGGTAAAAAATGCAGACGTAATAAAATTTAAGAATATTATTAAACACAATTAATTTGCTCGAATACAATAAGCACATCGGGTAATGTTTAATTTTAACCGACTTCAAAAAGGAGGAGGTTATCAATTCGGTGTATTTTTTAATGTTTTTTACCTCAGAATTCTATAATTTCTAAACCGATTTAGATTTTTTTATTTGAAAGGATATACATACAGATTGATCCAGTACACACGCTGAAATTTTAATAGTTGTTTTCCCGAAGTAAAATGATTTTGCCTTAGTAGTACAATAGATTTATTAAAATAAAATTATTAGGATGTAAAAATGGCAGATTTACAATCGAAAAACACAAAACTCGAATGCGATCTCAAACCAATAGCAATATCTCGCAAGTAGGTCGGGCGTACAGGCTAGCTTATACCGAATTATTATAATAAAGTCTGAAAAAAAATTCGCTGGACGTAATGTAGTGTTACGTCTATCGCACGTGCTACCGCGCGCTTGCTACACAGTGAAGGGCCACTAATAAATGTTCATAACATGAACTCTCAAGCGTAGTGATACGACATAAACTAGTTTGGACGCCCGAATAGCTTGTGAGGTATTACTATTGTAAATCTGCCCTTTTTTAATTGTAATATTTTTTTAATTTAATAAATTGACCTTACTATCGAGACAGTATAATTTGGCTACGGGACAACAACCACTAAAATTTTAGCATGTATATACGAATTGATCAAGCTTAGAAATCAGTGTACATACATATTGATAACCTTTCTTTTTGGGAGTCGGTTAAAATATGCTATGTTTGGGTCTAACGTAACATCTGGTTAATGTTTGGGTGTAAAGTGACATCGGGTTAGTAAAGGCGTTCTTATTAATAATCTCATGATGTTGTAAATAAAAAAGTTTTATTCTATACTCTAAAACGTAACCTTAGTCAATAAAAAAAGCAATTAAAATAAAATATTTGCGTTAAAATGGCGTCGACGAATCGCGATTAACTGATCACTCCGTATAAGTTTTAAATAGGCACCCATTGTTAATATAATGTTAACACTTAGAGAAGTAGGTATCTATATATAAGCATTTGAGTTTTACACAGAGCGTTGCGATTAAACGTTTTAAACACAAATAGAAAATAAATATTTTTAAAAGAAAATTGTGATTTTTTCCCCACAACTAGCAACATTTGTATTATGAGAGCTTAGGTAAGTATTTTTTTAGTTTTACGTACTTATAATGAATTAAATGTATAAACTTATATGTGAAATGTAATACCATAACTTCTTTTATGTTTATCATCACCGTTGTGACAATATTTTACGACACAAACGGTAATTTTTACAATTTTTCGCGAGCTCTTCTCCGTAAGACGCGACGTTGCGCACTAACGCGTCGCTGAGTCAACTAACGCGGTTTCGCGTTAGTTTTACTTGCTTCACTTTCGGTGCGCGTACTAGTATTCTATGCGTAATAATTCTATGTATCAAATAATAAAGGGTCAAAAAGGCGCTGCTTTATCGACGCCATTTTGACAGTTGATATTATTGTAAATATATAATAATATAGTCCATTTTTGTATTGTATAGTGTATTTAGTTTTTTTTGTGTAGATTTTTCTAAGTGTTTCTAATTATTTCCAAGGCTTTTTTGCTTTTTTTCTTAATATATTAGTTATAGTATACGACTTTGTGTTTTTGTCTCTGTTCTCCTCCTAATTTTGGTTTTATAGGGCGATAAAGCTTAAGGTGACCATATTACCCTCACGTACTTACTATAATATCAACTGTCAAAATAGCGTCGATAAAGCGGCGGCCTTTTGACCCTTTATTATTTGAATGATAAGAAAGTGATTTGAGTTATAAGAAAGTGACCATATTGACCGGACGACCATATTACCCTCACGTACTCTATTTATATTACACAGTGTGCCAAAAAAACGGCTTGATGAATTTTAACATATGAGGTGCCGTTAAATTCGCCTTATTTGTGGGAGTGACATAAGGGTATGAAATTTTTCTCTTTTCAGTAAACTTTTTCACACAGCCGTGTTTTTTTTAATAACTCTTTCAAACTTGTTGATTAGTAACATGACATTTCACTTAAGTCTCAGTAGTAATTAGAAGTACTCGAATATGAAGATATCTATAGGCCACACTTTATCTACTTACCATCAGGTGGACTGTGTGCCTGTTTGTCGTTCTTGCTTCTTTAAAAAATATTTGCAAATGAGATATCAGTATTGTATATATTCTGCGTTGTGACTATCAACTCACCTGACCATATCCTTCTGCGGTGGATATCCGGGTACTTGCACACTGACGCCGCTTGTCATGTAGCAATACGGTTCACTTTCAGTCACCTGGCCTTCCCGCGACAGTTGCGCGGTTCGTCGCAGTATGACGAAGTCTCTTGGATGAATGAGGCCTCGGCCGCCACCAGCCGTCACTTGGTACGTCAGATCTATGCCTGGACCCACTTCCTGTGGCCAAAGAAGAAGGTTACTTACCTAATAATAATAATATAAGAGTTTAACAAAACTTAAACTACACGCACTGATAATGAACTGTGATGATCCTAATAATTATTTTATTTTATCCCGGCGATCCTGATTAGGATACTGAGGAAAAAGTTATTAAATTATTATACTGTCATCGGTCTTGATACGAGTGCAAACTATCAGGTCAATCAGCCGTGTACAAGTTGGTGATAATTACATCAGAAGATTTCATTACATAGATAGATATTCTTCTTAATAACTGGCTTTACGGCTCTGGGATCTAGCCCTTCTGAGCCTGAAGTTACAATATTATATTATAATAATTATTCTTCATAGTATACTGCTTCACAATATGTTGATGCGTCACATTGTGCAGCCCTTGGGAGATTTTGACGGTAACTTGAGCCAGCAGACAGCTGACGGTTGGCGATGGTATCTCAAGGCGCCTAAGCAGACAGGCACCTTATTTTGAGAATCACATCACTATCAGAGTACTTGTTTCACAGTTTTCACTAATAGTTTAAATGCGCAGACACTTAATACACAAAATCGCATCACTTTTAAAGTCTACTTCAAACCATTATTTAAACAATAAAACAGGAGCAGCAAACCGCCGCCGGTCAAGTTCCCGCCAAAACTCCCATAGATAGATATGAGTAGATAGACGCATACCTAATACAATCGTTTTCAAAAATGTCGATGGGGATAAGCTTTCTGAAAGAGAAACGTATAACCAGGACCAGGTTAACCCATGCGGAGTTCCTCTCGTGAGCGTATGAGAATCTTGTTTAATTAAATTGTTTGTTACAGTATTTACAAAAATAATTAGTGTTTAATCGCATTTTAAAGCTGCACGAGGTGACGTAGCCACCATTCCATCAATAATTTTTATAGTAAATCTGTTCTAGCATACCGCACGTACACTGTTCCGTAAGCATAAATTGTGCAAGAGATTACCTTATAACTTAATTATAATTAACCGAATCAATGCTCCAGTCCAATCCAATTAACATTTTTATTATACATAAAATAAATAATTTATATAAATTTTACTAATCCATAAAATTTATAATTTTTATGTTACTCTTATGTATTCTTTATGGGGGTGGTTTTCCAGGTGGTTTTCCCGCCAAAACTCCCGGTCAATTATCGAAGAGTCTAAGAGTCTACTTCACTAGAGGATGCCTCGTTTAGAGGTGAAACACGTGTCGTATTATCGACGATAGAGGTGACGGGGATAACGCACGCGAGGGAGAGCGGGAGGTGGAGGAGCTCTTCAAACTAAGTAAGACACATTATTTTATTTTATTACGCGGATGTTAGTTAATTAATTTTTAATGTGTGCACTGTATAAAGGAAAATATATGTGGGAACGCTGCATGGTATATAAACACAATATAATTGTCATTATTGTTAAAAAAAATACAACTGTATAATGTACTCACTTTTATTATTTCAGACTTCAAAATAGTGGGATTCCAATCGGTTATACTGGCGACGTTGTTCTTAAACTCCTCGTACAGGAACTTAGCAGGACACTCTACTATACCCTGTAAGAAATGATCAAACTCAGCGTTCTAAATGAAAATAATATCAGCCATATTACGAAAAGTAATTTAAATTTGGTCCTCGGCGTACTTTCTGGTATAGAGGAAATCCTAAAATAAGAACAAAATTCTTGTAGTTCTTTATGCATATGACGTTTTATGTGGTACAAAATAAGATAGTTACGAGTACATTTTTCTGCACCTTCTTTTACAAGGTTGTTGCCATTAATTAAAATATATATATATATATATATATATATATATATATATATATACACTATGTAATGTGTATACATGCTTATAAACTATAAATATCCGTATTAATATATAATATAATGTTGTCGTAGATTACTTCTAAATGAGTTTCTATTTGTAGCATTCTTAATATCATCGGGGAGGGTGTTCCAAAGATGTATAGCTTGTATCGTAAACGAGGACCTGAAAAAATTAGACCTATGCTGTGGAAACCTTATCCTCAAAGGGTTTGATTGTCGTGGTATTCGACCGTCAATCGAATGAAGAAAATGAAAGTTATCCTTAAGATAAGAAGGCGTCCTTGGATCGTTTAAAATTGAATAAAGTACAAGTAATATTCTAGAGCATTTTGCCATAGCGCCTTTGACCTATAGGTAGACATGTAAGCTTTGAACGATAGGAAGATATGTGGTCATACTTACATAAACCGAAAATAAACCTTATGGAATTATTAAGAAGGCGCTCCAACTTGTTTAGAAGATTTAGTGACAAATCTGGGTAACATACATCTGCATAATCTATAATAGGTAGAATGAGGGAATGAACAAGTGTAAGCTTCGTTTTGAAAGGTAGGAAATTTTTAAGACGATAAAGGGAACGCATATTTACGTTTTTTAATACGTTTTTTTTTTGCCTTATTTTAAAATTCAATTAGAAAAAGCGAGACAAGTATATTGACTCGATTTATGTAGAATACATACATAATAATGTATCTAATTACTTACAGTAAATTTATAAACCTTCCCAAATCGTTCCGTGTGCCGGGACTCGACGATGTCACCCCTGTGAGTACCGCGCTTCTCCAACCGCCAGTCCGCCAAGTTGATTGTTTGCCAAGCGTTCTGCATGCTCTCCTCTGCTTGTTGCTTGTATTCGTCTATCTATTAACAAACAAATACAGGATTATTAAAAAAAAACGGCTGCATTGATTTATTTATTTATGCTTAATTGAACCACAGTGTATAGTAAAGGCAGATTTTAATGCTATATAATTTAAAATTACAAAATTTTGTTAATTTAATCAAAATTATTAATAAATTGCTACATAAAAATCAATTCGATTTTACAAGGGGTCGCTCGACAACTGACGCTGGAGTTGAGCTTATTAAACATATTTTTTGTGCATGGGAGAATTCAGAGGATGGTTTGGATATATTTTATGACCTTTCCAAGGCCTTCGACTGTGTTCACCATAAGACATTAATCAGGAAGCTACAGTACTATGGTGTCAAGAACACAGCGCTTAAACTTATTATTTCATATGTAAGTAATAGAAAGCAGAAGGTTATTATCAATGGTAAAAGTTCTTCCGGGTCACCTTTACTAATGGGTGTCCCTTAGGGCTCGATTCTCGGCCCATTCCTGTTTCTGGTGTATATTAATGACTTACCTTACTTTGTAGGGGATAGTCATGATATAGTATTATTTGCTGATGATACTTCCTTGATTTTTAAACTTAAACGTCAATCATTTAAATGTGACGAAGTGAATAATGCTATATCAAAATTAGTGCATTGGTTTAACGTTAATAATCTACATTTGAACGGAGATAAAAATAATTGTGTTAAATTTACAACAACGAATGTTAAAAATCTGAATACCAATGAGTTTTTAAATGGGGAGGAACCGAGCCCTGTTTCTGAGCATCACTGCCCTGAGCATCACTCTCGACGTAAAGCTTCAGTGAGGCCCCCATATATCCAAATTAGCAAGCAGACTAAGTTCTGCAGCCTATGCTGTAAAAAAGATTAGAGGTCTCACTAGTGTCGAGACAGTTAGATTAGTTTATTTCAGTTATTTCCATAGCATAATGTCGTCTTATGAGATTTTGCTATGGGGAAATGCGGCTGATTCAGAAACTATTTTTGTTTTACAGAAGAGGGCCATTAGAGCTATTTACAATCAAAAACCGAGAGAGTCTCTTAGAGATAAATTTAAAGAAATAAATATATTAAATTTGGCCTCTCAGTATATTTACGAAAATTTAATGTATGTTCACAAAAACAAAGGTAGTTTTAGTAAAAAAAGTGATATACATTCTGTAAACACTAGGAACAAACACAAGCTAGTGATGCCAGTTTCTCGACTCCACAGAGTCAGTAATTCATTATTGGGCAATGTATGCTATTACAACAAGGTCCCGGAAAGTGTACAGGCTCTCTCTATTACCAATTTTAAATGTTTTGTTAAGCTGAAACTGTATAAAAAGGGTTATTATAGTATAAATGAATACATGGTTGATAATAACCCCTGGCAATGAAGTGGTCGCTTCCAAGCAGTTTCTAAAATAAATTTTGTAAATAGTTCGTAATCATTTATATTGTAAAATTTATTTAAAAAAAGTCCCGCTGAGTTTCTTGCTGGTTCTTCCCAGGACAGAGGTTTTTTTTCGAACCAGTGGTAAAGTAAAAAATGACTTTCAATAAGAATTACACATGTAATGTATATTGAATAAAATACTATTCTATTCTATTCTAATAACTCAAAAACTATTGGTCAGACTTCATCAAATTTATATGGGACTACATGTGAAGGACCAGCTTTAAAATAAAAAAAGAGTCATCGAAATTGGTTCAACCAGGATAAAATTATGAGTTAACACACATAAAAAATATTTTTTTACAAATGGAGGCTATGATCCTCTGAGGATCAGGACAATGTAATGGCACTTTTTACTTTAAATCCGTCAAAAAGTTGCAGAAGGTCACAAAGGAAATGACAATATATATAGATAAACGCATACATACAAATACCTATTTAATAAAATAAAGAATGAATAGTCCACTTGACTGATAAGAGTTACTGAAGCCCAGGATACTTACAACCAACTTCAGACGATAAATTCTACTATAGTAATGTTTAACACTCGCTGCCGTGGTGTAATAAAATGGGGAAACAGGACGCCACTAGTTGCGCTATGCGCTTTCTGTCGCATCTTCACCAAGGTTTTGTTACCAACACGTGTTGACAACACAAAAGTTTTGTTACCAACTTTTGTGTTGTCAACACGTGTTGGTAACAAATGTTTCTGTAATTACCTACTTAAATTGCGACGAACCTCGACAGTCTTTTTAAAAACACAATTTAAAGTATAAAATGATTTAATGTTCTTTCGAAGGTGGTTCGTTACAGAATGCATCCATATTAAATGTTAATAAAATAAGTCTAGTACAATTATCATATCGTCTTACATTACTTTAGAATTATCACTCGAGTTCTCACGCATGTGCTGATGTGGCTGTTTGGAATATTGAGCCAGGGACGGATTGAGGCGATATAACTCCTCCCTCCACAAGTTCGGGATTATCCTCGGGATTATCACGAATTTTACAGATTTTACAAATTTCAATTAATTTATGTTTAACAATTATACTTAAAATAATTAATATAATAACTAAAATAATAATATTAACTAAACTAACACTTTTATTAGTAATTTCACTTTTTGCATTTTCACTTAACTCACTGTCACTAATTTCTCCCATACTTTTCTGCAGTAATAGATTCAGGAACTGTACGTCTGCTATATTAATTCCATCGAGATTCACAGGCTTCTTCAGAGTGCTTGACGGTTTGAGTATTATCTTTGGTAGGTTTATTAATGGCTGCCTTAGGGAGGTTATTTCTTTACCTTGAGTCTGATGTCTTTTCAGTTCGTATCCTTTGATTTTCACCTTGCAGTTATCATCCATAGTTAAGAGGTAGGTTCCTAGTAGAATCTCTTGGCTAACTTCATTGTCGCAGAATTTAGTCATAGCTGTTTCAGTATTTGAGTAAACTATCCAGCGATTTGGTTGTATGAGGTAGATCTTCACATTTTCTAGGGTGACAGGGATCGGGTGACAACTTGAGATATTTGTGTGAAACTGCATGATTTCTACGACACAGTTGTCATTGGTGAAGAGTTGTATGTCGTTCTCATGACACAGGAATCGGCGTTCGTCGACCTCGCGACATGACTGAGAGAGCGGTGTTGCTTTCAACCCTTTCACAAGTAGGTACGGATTTTTAGGTAGGATGAGAGTCGTCTGGCCATTATGTAATACAGGTAAGGGAACTAATTTATAATAGTTAAAAATTTCATTTCTAATAAGTGGAATACTCATAATAAACTTTATCTGATTCTGTTTAATATAGGCTTTTATCTCGATACATCTTTCTAATTTTACAATATTTTCATAAGTGACAGGAAACACTAATTTGTCAGTTTGTTCTATTTCCTTAAGCAATATTATAAGTTCTTCTGTATCAATTATTGACTGGTGTAGTACATTAATTTTACTAAAAGCAATGGCTGTTTCGATTTCACTCAAATGGAAATATAAATTATGAAAATTATCAAGGAAGATATTATAAAGGTGAATGAGTTTAGTAACCGTCTGTCGAAAATCGGAGTTGTTTAAAGCTTGATTAATGTTTTGAATATTATCTTCTAATCGTATAAAATTGCTTTTAGTAGAATTTGCCATGGCTGTAAATGAGCCCACCATTTCGGAAACTATTGTCATTTTATTTTTAATCACATTTTGTTCCGTATGTAGCTTATTTATTAATCTTTCATACCTAAGAGCGTCATTATTATCTAAGTTACCTGTGATGGCTTTTATCAAAGAGCCTACCGGATCGAGGAGACCTCTTTTGGTTCGTAATGGAGGAATTAATTGTTTAAATTTGTCGATGGTAATATTCATAGTATAATCGGTTTGATGTTGGACGGTAGTAAAATCTGAATCAAATGATTTAGTATCGAAACAACTTTGAACATGCTTTTTAAGTAACCCATATTTATTCATACTTGATTCTAATTCATCGTAAATTAAATTTAAATCTAATATCTTAATAACTATCCAGTTATCATAATTAACAAATGCTTGACCTTCGTCAACAGGTAACAATCCCGGATTCTTGTCAATGCGAAGCTGATGAAGGGCCTGGCTTCCCATTGTTCGGATCACCAGTAGAAATAATCTGCGAAGGACGTTTTATGTCTTTAATAGGAACATTAGTAATACGTTTATTGGTTTCAACGGGAACTACATTTCTTTTTATAGCACCGATGGCATGAGCCTTTTGGTAACGTGGTTTATCTTTGCTCCGTCTAGTATTAACACCTTTTATGAACACAGTATCACCTACGTCTATATCGCACTGTGATTCGCCTGCGTGTTTTTCTCTCACCGTCAACTTTTTGTCAATTATTTTATCCGTAAGATATTTATATAAATATTTGGTCCTTTTAGCGTGATCCTTTACTAACTGCTGTGTGAATTGCTTATCGAAATTAATGGCAAATGTACTATTGGATTCGGTGTGTCCGAATACTACTTCAAAAGGCGTTAGATCTGTCGAAGAGTGAATTGAATGGTTGTATGACATAACAGCATACGTCATCACTGACGCTGCGTCTGTAATTTTATGTTCGTATTTCGCGATTCGGTAAATTTCAGTAATAGTTGAATGAAACCTTTCGATAGGTCCCATAGAGTTGGGGTTGTGCGCAGTACCAATGTGTAGATTGATTTTGTATAATGTTAGCATTTCCTTTAAGAGTACGTTATTAAATTCCATACCGGGATCTGAACTGATTTTGGATGGAATTCCGTAAAATGAAAAATACTTTATTAAAGCTCTTATTACTTCCGGGGTAGACCTACTATTAATTTCAATTGCTTGACCCAATTTGCTGAACGCGTCTATCAGGGTTAGAAAATACTTGCCTTCTATCGAAAAGGTATCAATGAAAATTTCTTGGAATGGCTTAGACTGGGTTTGAGTCAATTGAAGTTGAGGTTTTAGGGGTTTACGGTCGTATTTCATTTTCTTGCAGACCTCACATGAGTTTATAATGCTCGCTACCGTTTGTTCCATATTATTCCAATAA